TGTGGGACCTGTGGGGCCTGACCCCAGTCTCATCTCTACCTGCTCCCCTCTCACGAGCGCTAGACGCTAGCGCACTAGCCGGATCCCACTAAAAACAATGACAGCTGTTTATCGAGTGGTTTCAGATTTTCACGTTCAAGGGCTGATTGAAAAATGCGGTGAATATTCATATTGTTTAATTTATTATTACAGTAGAAGACATACTGCCATTACCCCCTTCTAAGTATTTCCCCTCACTTCAACGCACTTTTCCTATCATTCTGGTCGCTTTCTGAAGCAGTTCTGGAAATCCTCATTTATGGGTGACTTTTTAGTTGCAGTATCGTGGCTGCCTCCTTGTCCTGAATCTATTCAGATCTTACCTTCCATGGTCGTATTGACTTTGGGAGGAGCCAGAAGACGCAGGGTGCTAGATCGGCTGAATTACCAAGAGGAGGACACACCGCAGAAGTTCTATGAGCCTGCCTTTCCGTTGGATGACTATCTAAAGCATCATTCACTGTTTTTAATCACATCTTGTAAAACTCAGGAAAGAGAACTTCCAGACCTGTTTCAGAAAGTGCTAAGAAGGATGGAATAAGTGTGTTCAAATAGGAGAAGTATTTGGAGAGGGTCAATGGAAATGTGTCTTCAGTAAAGTTAAACACCGTGTTTTATGATCACACCTCGTTTAATACATAGACACTTAGTCCTCATTAAAATTTTCAAAATAAGCAATATTAGAAATGGGGACTCAGTGACTAAGAAAAGATAATTTGCTCAAAAGCTAAAAATGATGGCGATGCTGTTTTAATCAAGGTCTTGGACTCCAGAGCTGAGGTCCTTTCTGTTACACCACATTGCCTTTCAGGATTCTTTTTAGCTGGAGAATTCTCTCTCCCAGTTCCCTGTTTCCTCCCTTTTCAACCATCCTACTTTAGCTAACAGTACAAATGTTTACATATCAGTTTGTCTGTTATGATAGACACTTTCCACTTTAATACTATCCATAATTAACTGGTTACCACATCTTGCTGCTTTTATTGCCTAAATATCTTTGGCATCGGTCTCATTGTTCTCTATCTCCATTACCTTCAGTTTGGCTTCTCTTGTTCTCCTGCTTGGATAATTGAAATATTCTAGCTGGGTTTTTAAACTTCAGTGTCATATTCTTCTGAGCCATCCTTTATATCACAAGCTAGACTGATGTTTTTAAAATGTAAGCCTAACAGATTACTTCAAACTTTAATACTTCTCCCTGAGATGCAAACTAAAATTGTGTATCTTAACTGTATGCACGTTCTTTTGTAATATTTTCTCTCATTTGTCCCCTCCTCTTTAACTATACCCCTCCAGCCTCAGTTCCTGGCTAAGCAAACCATGCTGTTTTCATTGCTCTGTGCTCTTCCTTG